AATCCAAATATTTTGGAAATACTTTTTCCACAGGAAAACATTGAAGCATTTGAAAAATTTCCCAAATCAGAATTTCTCCCCCAGTATGAAAACTACAAATTCTGTTTATTTTTGTCAGGAAGCTCATGTCTGTGTACGGCAAGGTTTGGATACACTTCATTGTGTCCATCGCCTAAAGCACAAGCAGCTACTCCACAAGACTTCAAGTCTAAAGGGCACACTTTCCACTTCATCTCCACACCAGATCTAGGCAGCCTCTTTCCTCCGCCATGGGAGGAAATGTATAAGGTAGCACAGAGTATGTACACGCAAAGGAATAACACTGTAATGAACTTAGGCTATTGCAACCACAAAAGCTTTCAGAAAGCTTTGGAGGAGGACTTGCACTTTCCTGAGCTGAAGTTGAGAGGACTGTAATTTCATGACTAACAAAAACCAAAAAAAGTTTTGGAGAAGATGAATTTTAGGGTTCCGTTGTAGTCTCTGCTACGGTTTAATCACAAAAATTTAGCAATTCACATTTATGATTTATACTTCTCAAGAAAAATAATTCCAAGTATAAAGGAATAATATTTCTACCTAATTCATAACAGCAGCATCATATTTTTCCAGTAGGATGGCTCACAGGGGAGGGCTGCATAGGGATGAGAGCAGGCTCTCATTTCATATTAACCCTCACATCTCTGTTCAGGTCCCATGTAGGGAACAGCCAGCATACTGTATGGAACACAGCCAACCTGGGCAACTGTCACGCGAAAAAATATATCTGCACTGATGAAGGGCAGAATGAGGTGACAGTTCAACAGCACCAAGACATCCCCCTGCCCCAGACAAGGAGAGAGACTCCAGCTTCTTTAGCCACCAACGGGAAAGCTGAGTCCCTCAGTACTGGTAGGACCTCCGTGGTGCAAGAGCTTATGGAGCTGGAGAAGCAGATCGAAATCATCAAGCAGGAGCTGCAACTCGCCATGGACAGGAAATCGGAGCTGGAAGAGTATCAGAGAATGAACAGGACTGCAGAGCTCTAGACAGCATACCTGGGTCTTTCCCTCTTTTCTTCCTTTCTCCCCTTCCTCTGTAAAATTTGTAACACACTTTTGTAATGCCAGAAAGAGGTGCAAAAATAAAGCAGGCAATGTGCTCCTCGCAAGGGCAGAATTGCAGCAGCCCACAGCCACTGCCACTCTCCAGAGTCCTTCTCCTTTCATAACAAGTTTCTCATTCTCCTGGCAAACATCGGCCATTCCCAAGGGACTGGAGAAACAAGGAGCTCCCAGACACCGGGAGTTCCTCGTTCCTCTACTTGAGAGTACAGTGAGGTTCCCACTTTCTTAGCCCTTTCTGTGCATTAATTAAAGAAAAAAAAAAAGAAAAAAAAAAGAAGGAAATTGAAACTGCTCATTGGAAGTATGTCCCTTGTTGGTATATTTTTGTTGTGATATCTATGGGTCTAGTCTCCTATTCATGCTTAGGCTCCTTATGGTTGCCTCATTACGCCAGGTGCTAGTTCTGTGTTGGCAGTCCCTCTCCTCCTCGCACAGGCTGTGATTTCACAAGACAGATTCCTGGTGGCAGTCCCAGTACACACCATTCCCTCCGCTCTGTCAGCACAAATGCAGATGTGGCTGCTCTGTGACTGTGATAAAAGGAACTCACCCAGCTTAAAATAACTTGACAAAAACCAAACCACCACCTCCGTCTGCTTCTGAGCCCTGGTTTGGTTTTCACTCCCAACCAGAGAAGAGCCATGCAGACAGCTGCACTGGCAAATGTGAGGGGATGGGTTCATGGTGAAATAGAGCAAGGATGAGGGGAAGAGAGTGGTGGCAGTACTGTAAATCAGTAATTTCCACCAAAAGTAAGTGTTTACCAATGTGAAACTACTTCCTTAATATTCTCTGTCTTCAGTTGCCAATAAGGCTCCTTCTCACAGCCAAAGTCACACAAAGGGGATCCGATTCATGATTTATTCTGATACCAAGCACCAACCAAAGCCTCCCTGTGGACCAGGGCTCACTGTGAAGGAGAATGAGAGTTGTGGTTTCAAAGGCAATGTGCTGAGTGGAGCTCCCTTCCACCTGGATGATGAGTAAAGGGGAAGGAAGGGTAAGCTGTTCAGCATCTGAATAAATACTGCATCAACCCAATTGACTCTGTTATTTAAACAGGATTTCTATGAATTTTTAAACAATGCTTCTCAACACATCCCGTATTAGAGAAAAATATTGTAACACCATCAGAATTAACTCTGGTGTCCCAGATACATCACTAAATTTTTACCCTCCCTGTATTTCCAGTCACCTGCATGAATGTTGCCAGGGGGGATGTCCTCACCAAGGCATGGTTTAAAGGCAACAGGCAGATCTGAAACTGTATTTTGGAGTTTGTTAAAGGCATTCTACCTTTTTGCATTTTTAACCTTTGGAAAACATTTGCAAATGAAAAGCTCTGCATGGACCACTAAAAGCTGATAGCAGCAATACCCGAATTAGCCTCATCAAGAGTCCATATACTGTTCCCTGCTCAGTCCTTGGCCTCTGCTTTTGGGCAGTGAATGCATCTGCTGCTTTCAGTAGTCAAGTGACATAGCAAGGCGTAATTAGGACATAAAACAGGAAAGTGGGATCCAGAGCCCTGCCCACCAGATAGGTCTGAAAGATTGAGGATGTCCCTTCTCTCTTTGACAAGCTCGATGACTAAAGCCAAGTCACTCAGGTTGCTTTTGTTGCTTTCCTTTACCTTCTCTTCCTCATCTAGATAATCAGCTTTGTAGGAAGAGCTTTTCATTTGTGTAGCATCCAATACCTTACAACCTCCAACATCATTTGGTTAGAACAGATGAACACTGCTCTTTTCATTATTGTGAGACAAACACTAGAAAAGAAATATCTCAGTAGAATTTATCAGTGTGTTCATCAACAGTTTGTTAAATCCTTATCTCTACCTGCATAAGCCCAGAAAAAAATTTTAAAAAACCAAAACTGAAGTTGTAATGATATATTAAACAAAAATGCACTTATTTTAGTTCAAAGTTCCAATCAAAACACTGAATCTTTCAACAAATTACTCTTTATTTAAAAATGAAAAATTTATGTAGAAAAGATCTGTATTTCTGGTGAGTGTCTTAGGTGCTACTTCCATAGCAAATGCAGAATAGGGATTGTTCCAAATTACTGCAGCACCAACTAGGAGCCTTGGAAGAAGATCCAAGTTATTGTTGCATACAGAGACATATTTTGGCATGTTATTTTCTTATTCAACTATTGCTTCTGCAAAACCACTTATTCTTATATATATATATATACACACACAC